AACTCTTAAGCCATTTTACAATCTGAATGTGTTTTTGAGTAAAGTTTCGATTTAATTCTTTTGTCTGAATTTTGTAATGTATGTTAAAAGATAAATTTATAATTGAATAGTTGTAAGAGTGAGTCTATTGAAGCTAGACCACCATGGAAAACCTCCAAGCACTGGACGGTCGTTTCGTCCTATTATGGGACTCCTCAGCAGTGAGCATCCACGATCCCGCACTCGCGAGATTCGAACTCAGGAACTACCGGTCTCGCGCCAGAGCACTTAACTACTAGACCACTGAGCCGGTATCCAACAGTGTTAATATCTAACTTCAACTGATCCACAAAGTTGAGCAACCGTTAATCAATTGTCTTCAGTGAGTTGATATCTCACAACAGACATGGTTTGAACTCCACTGGTCACTGTTTCTCACTAGAACTCCTGGATTTATCTCTCAAATGAGTACCAAAATAGGACGAAACGACCGTCCAGTGCTCCCAGGTTTTCCGTGGTGGTCTAACTTCAATTGACCCATGATTTCAACTATGAAAATACTGAAATCTCCACAAAACCCCTTCTGATAATAATAAATTTATAAGACTGACATATGTTATAGTACACGCTAACCCGCTTCTCCCCCCCCCAGTCACCCACTAACTGACTACTTCAAAAAGCAAACAAAAGTAAGCTAAAAAGTACAATAGGCATCCTATTAGTTTACAAATAAAATATTTTATTATGTTGCATGATACTCTGAACTCCCTATAATTAACTCGATAATAAAGTATAAATTGATAGTAAATTTTATTTATTTAAAAAAAAACTAAATTAAATGTTTTTCTCAAATAAAAAAACAAACAAACAAGGAAACAAACAAACAAAAAAACAAAAAAAAACAAAAAAACAAAAAAAAACAGAACAATGTGTTCATTGAATCATTTTAATCAACATTTACTACTAATCCAATTAAGTAATATTGATTGTTTAAAAGAAAAAACAATAAATAAATAAATGAATTGAGAGAGAGAGAGAGATGTGAAAAGTATTATTTTCATCTATATTCAAATAAACATTATTCTAGTATACCTTCTATTGAATGATGTTTAAGGGTAAATGAAAAAGAAAAAAACAATTTGATTGATTTACTTTATTTTATTAGGTAAATTAATTTCCCTAGGAGATTTAGTCTATATTACCTTTTTATGAATAATAGAAGGGGGTTTTTGTGGAGATTTTAGTAATTTTATATATTTGAAATCATGAATCAATTGAAGCTAGATCACCATGAAAAACATGGAACTCCACAACAGTGAGCATCCACGATCTCGCCTCGAGAGATTGGAAACTAGGACTTATCAGTCTCATGCGTTGGATGCCGGCTCAGTAGTCTAGTGATTAAGCGCTCGCGTGCGTGACTGATGGATCCTGGGTTGGAAACTAGCGAGTCGGGATCATGGATGAGCATTGCTCAGGAGTCTCATAATAGTACGAAACGGTCGCCCAGTGCTTCCACGTTTTCCATCATGGTCTAGCTAATGATTTCAACTATAACAAAATAAATTGTTAACCAATAGATTTTATATTCTGTGAAGAAGTGTAACATGTCGCTTGAATAATCACGTATGATTTAAGATGATAATTATTCGAAAGGTTCCTAGATCCATACTGAGATTCTGAATTCCATCAACTGATTACAGTTAAAAGTACTTATTGTTTAGACAAACTAAGCTAATCATTTTTTTTCTCATAGTCAGTAAAGAAGTAATAATGTGGTGTATGCTATTTATGTCGACAAACATATTTTACCAAGAGATTCTGTAATTTTGTATTTAAATACATTTGGTTGTTCCCACTTATATTCTTGACAATTACAATAACACTTATCTAGTTCTGCTAACAAGCACACTACCAAACGTTGTTTCTTGTAAAGCTGAGAGGAAGTCATCTAAAGTGAAACTTTCAAAAGTTGAAAAGAATAAGAAGAGAAAGAGAAAAGAGTGTTATACTATCTACATACACGAAGTATTCCACCAAATTCATTCTTATATTAGTATATATTTGAAGACAATCCCCATCATAAATACTCTCATTAAAGATACTCACGAAAGATCTATATTTCAGTTTAGTCAGTTTTTATTTTATGACAAAAAGTTTACCATTTCCACTACATAAGTCCAAACTTTCAAACAACTATGACCAAGTGTAATCGCACAGGACTTTGTACTTGTTATCATAAACATTGTAGTCGAATACAGTCGATCAAAGTGAAATTCGTTTCATATAAAGTATCGGTTTTTAGATTTAGGTAACGTTTAACTATATAATTTTATTCAACCACCAAAGTTCAGTTGAATAAAGGGAACATTTTTTCCCGAAAAGGATGTCTTACTTTAAATAGAGTTATGTATCGAATAGGAACTACTAATGATATTTGTTTTCATAGTGTACTATACATAATTGCCATTCATTTGCTTTACTGTACTATTCTGTAATGATACTGTATTTACACATTACTCCATAAAAGGTTTTCATATATTTCTTCATTTTTTATAAATATCACTAGGAAAGAGGTGATGAAGCTATTTCGTGGATTGGTTGAAGTTAGACATTAACATCGTAGGATATCAGCTCAGTGGTCTAAAGGTTATGAGTACGTGCTTAAGACCGAAGATCTTGGGTTCGAGTTCCGCATGCGGGATCGTGGATGTACACTATTGAGGAGTCCTATACTAGAACGAAAAGGTCATCCAGTTCTTTCAAGTTACGCATGATGGTCTAGCTTTAATCGATTCATGAATTGAAGTATTAAATTATAGATATCATATTCCAAAAATGACGCTGATATAATGTAATCACTGAACAAAACAAGCAAGAACACCTACTTGTCATAGTGTTTTTTGTGTGTGTGCAAATATACACAAAACAGTACTATATATATATATATATATATATATATATATATATATATATACAATGATAATTACAATGATGTGAATGTAATGTGTGATTTACCATGGGATAAATAAAAATGCTAACACAACCTTTGACATCATTTAAAACTAAAGATTTCCATTACAGGGTTCAGTGTGAGAATAAACTATTTCTAAGCACTTGAAAATATACATAAATTTTAGGGATAATTAACAAAAATGAGGTATAAACTGTTTTGGGATCAATCTTATGATCCGTTTCAAATATCGTCTTTAGCCATATCCATGACCATAACTGTAGTCAAATTTTAAAACTGTTTCGTTTACATATTCTATGTTCTTCTAAGGCATAACTACTTGTTCAAGGAAATTTATTTCCGCATATTCTACAAAACAATAATTGGTTCGAAATTTAACAGGTTTAAATCTAGATCTAAGGATAAAATTGTATAATCCATTAATTGCAACAACTTGTTACATAAGAACAAGAATTAGGTCATTTATATTTGTAGTGGCTTAGCGCTTCGTTAATTAATCACCTTGATAACCGTTATTATATAAATCTCAACTGTGTTTGAAATCGGAAGGTAATAAGAAGTGACCACTACAGTTTATTTGTACAAATTACTAAACTACAATTATATTGAGTGAGTTTTAAGCAGAGAGACGAATATGTGTATGCGAGCAAATACAGAAGCAAATTTATAGTCAAATTGAATAAGGAGGAGATAGGCAAGGCAAAAGTTAATAATGGGATTCAAGCACATGGGGAAGAGAATGAATCTTCAAGAGATATTTAAGTGATTAATATTTAAGCTAGAGATATGCGTAGGCTATCATATGTGATCAAGCGTACATGTTTATACAGATACAGATAGTATTCAATGAAACATTGAATTTAGAACTGACGTTCAATTTCGATTCCCACTGTCAATGTCAATAGCATTCATGACTATTCGCTAACATTTTTATTCAATACAAAGAGTGGACAAAGACTCTATCAGTAATTATTTAATAAACAAACTGAAATATGCTTATGTTTTGATAAGAAACTATGTCATTATATTGTGTTCCTTTCAAAAACAATTCAATTTGTAATGAGTACATGGATTTGTAAAGATTGTTGACGCAGTTCTTATTACTAAATATTCTTAGTTAAAGAGTCATTAAAAACCAGAAATCATTAGACAGCTACCTTTGTCCCAATACAAGACTCTTCATCAATACCTTTTAATGATCTTACTAACGGTTGAATTTATGACGTTTAGTCTCACAGAGAACTAATAACCTGAATAAGTCATTCTAAAGAACTTCATGCTGAGGCAGAAGAGGTTTTTTGTGATCATCTTATCAAGATCAAAAAATGGTTTTAAACTGTCAAAGTTGTAAATAATAGGATGAAACGCGCGTCCTGTATCTCACTGCTAGCCATTGTCTATCTTTGCTTATAATGCTTGTGAATTAAAGCTATATCGAGGCAATATGCACAGCATATATATATGTCAATTAGAAACTGACCAGTTGCAGTCCTAAACGTGAATATCAAGATTCAAACAAACAATACTAAGTGAATTCGAACTTTGCACAAGCAATTGGCTATCAAGACTCAGTAGCTTAGCGGAGAACGCGATGGCGTTGGAAGTGAAAGTTACTGGATTCGAATCGCAGAGTGAACATCAACTCTGAGATGCAGGTACATCCTACTGGTGACTCCTGAATAGGATGAAATGCGTGTATTATGCGTTATTTGTATATAATTGAAATCATGAGTCAATTGAATCTAAACCACCATGAAAAACGTGGAAGCACTGGACTGCCGTTTCGTCTTATTGTGGGACTCCTCAACATTGCGCATCCACGATCCTGTCTCACGAGATTTGAACCCAGGGCCTATCAGTTTTGCATGTAAGCGCCCAACCTCTAGACCACTGAGTTCCATAATGGGATCATGTGTTCCACAGTGGTCTAGCTTTAATTGATTCATTATCTCAACTATATAAAATAATTGTTTCTAATAATGAACAAATAAATATAAAACTATCTTAATCATCATTTCACCAAGTATTATCATGCATTAAAACTTACTAATTTTCATTGATTGTAATTGAATTGCGAACAAAACCATTAATGTAAACATGGAGATCATATTAACCATAGTATGTTTCATATTCAATTATATTTGCTCTGTTTACTTTGAATTTATTAAAATGGTTCAAATGATTTGGTTGTTTGTTTTAAAAAAAAGAAATAGGCCGATACGTTTAGTCTCAATGAATAAACTTTTCAGCAGTGTGTTAATTGCAATTTTTACTTTTTTTGGGGGGGGGGTATAAAAATTTTTATTTGTTATCAAGTTTTTATACTTTAAAGTATCAATCTATTTGTTTCCAATGTAAAACTGACCAATGAGAAGAAAGTGTTTGAGAAGATAAATATTTTAAAAAAAAACAAAGGGATTTTTAAGGATTTAGAAATGACTGTCAGTCAGTCACTTGGCCTATGCTTGTGGACAAATAACTAGAGGATCACAAATATAAGTGCTATGAATGAATGGATATGATGTATTACATGTTGTCTTATTTTACGAAAATGTTTTTTGTTTTTTTCTTAAGGATATATTATCATTGGAAGATTGAGAAAAAAATAAACCTCAGTCGGGAAGATAAAATGAGAGACAGAGCGAAATAGGAAGGAAAATGGCTAAAACGTTTTCATAAGCTCAATTAGTATTGTTTGTTTGAATCTTCCCATTGATGTTTCTAGGACTGCAACTGGTCAGTCTCTAATTAGCATATGTGCATACTGTGTGTATCGCCTCAATATAGCTTAAATTCACAAGCATTATAAGCAAAGATGGGAAGTGACTAGCAGTGGATTCCAGGACGCGCGACACTTCATCCTATTTTGGACTCGTCAGCTGAATTTACCTGCATCTCAGAGTTGATGTTCACTCTGGGACTCGAACCCAGTACATTTTGCTTCAAACACCATCGCGTTATCCACTGGTTTTCATAAACGTTGGCATAGGCGAAATATTTGTACATTTCTAATTTTTAATTCTTTTATACCTTTTGAAACGTTTTCTCTCAATGTAGAACTTCCGTTGATCTATTGATTATAATTAGGGGTTCGAAATTTCTTGGAATCTATTCAATTAAACAGGGAACTGTTGATTCCAGTAGAAAACAATTAGTCTTTTAACACCGCGAAATTTTAGATAAATTTATTAAAAGTAAAACATGATTGCCTTGAATGATAGTTGTAATCAAGATATTATGGACAATCTTTTCCAATGAATATTATCATATTTTTATTGGTATAAAAAATAGATGTTAATTCACATGGTACTGTTTGCTTGTATCTTCCCATTTATGTTTAAGAGTACTATTGATCAGTCTCTTATTGGCACATGTACATCATGTATGGATTGCCTCGATATAGCCTTAATTCATAAGCATTATAAGCAAAGATGGATAGTGAATAGCAGTAGAATTCAGGATGCACGTTTCGTCTCATTTAGGACTCGTCGGCTGGATGTGCCTGCATCTCAGAGTTGATGTTCACTCTGCGACTCGCGTCTATCACCATTCGCTTCAAACGTCATCATGTTATCTACTCAGCTACTGAGTATTAATAGCCAACTGATTGTGTAAATTTCCCGGAGTGAAATGTCAACTTTGAGATGCAGGTACATCCAGCTGACGAGTCCTAAATGCGGCGTAACGCACATCCTGGATTCCACTGCTAGCCACTATCCATCTTTGCTTATAAAGCTTATAAATATGAATTGACATCGGTTGAGGTATCGTTTGAAACCAGTTTGAAGTCGGCAATTGTTACTTTCTAAGATAAGATAACTAAAAATACACACTGATGAATTCACCTGTAACTGAACCGAAGACTTCTCGTATCGATTGCATTACCATTAAACTACTAAATGAGGATTTGAAGATTCATTATTAATAAAGAAGTATCACGGAATAAATAAAATGAGATTTAGATGACTTTAATTCCTTCTTACTGTACACAGTAACTTTACTGATTTTCTTTAAGAAACTTAACATCAAACCAGACTTTCTGGAGATTAGAACTTAATTGTTAAGACAGTAGCCTTCGAAATCGTATTGTCAAAATTCTCCTAAAGTTATAGAGTACATATTTCAATAAAATCAATCCCAATTAAGTATCTAACAAGAAAAATGTATAGTTCAAACGAGTGTCCTACATATTACCTTTGTCAGTGAAATATTTTCTGTTTATATGTGACCTTATTAATATTGACAATAATTGACTAGAAAACGTCCAATCCTGTCATCAAGATTACTAAAGCGGTTATTAGTATCTAACGAAAAATTAGAACGAATAATCCATATGATTTATCTGATAGTTTTGTCCTACATTTCATTATAAGTAACATTAAATAAAATTGAAATTGCAAAAAGAGATGTTTCTGTCATGTTGAAAGGCTCTTTTCCTAATATTATTACTTTTGAGTTATTTATCTGAAACCAGTCTTATACTAAATATCGGCGAGAATATATTCTGTAGTAGAACCAGTCGGATCTAGGATTACGAGTCTTGGATTTTGGCACGAAATTCATTCATCTACATGACTGAATAACATTTCGACACTATAGATTATATTAGTTTGTGATGAAAACCCTAGCTCTAATTTTTAAACCTGTTATGTAACTCCGAATCCGGATCATGAATTCTCACGCTAATTTTTAACTCTTTTTAGACCTTTGTAGATCTTTTCAAGGTCACCTTGTTGTCACTCGAAGGTCATGAATAAGTTATAGTTTCACTCTCAATACTGGTAATAGTTGTAACTGTCAAATAAAGTGTCATAATCTAAAAAATTTGACAGAGTATTATTTCCTACTAAATTTCAAATACTCACTGCTGATGACTGCCACTTTTCGCCAAGTATAATTCTAGAGACTTTTGTTTAGTACCTTCAACCACATGATTTCTTCTGGTTGTATTTTAGGAAGGTTGTTTTGTACGTGGGGTTGCTGACCCCATACCTATTCTTCCTCCTTAGTCCGGACTTGGGACCCGTAGTAATCCTAGCAGAGATACATGTGGGTATCATAGTCAACAATCCGCTGTGGGATAGAACTTTTAGACTTTCAGCAAAAAAGCGAATTCAGAACAGACATATCTCGCAGAAGTTATCAAACTGCATCACGAGGAAAGCCTCAACGTGGAATCCCGAAGGCGAAAAGGAATTTGGACGACACAAGAACACACTACGTCTGGGACTTGAGGCAGACATAGAAAATGAACAGCACCTGAAAAAAACTAGAAAAGGGAGCCCAGGACAGATGTGACTGGAAAATCCTTGTCGGCGGTCTATCCTTCTCCACGTGGGATAACAGGCTTAAGTAAGTAAATACATTCAACCAACAGGTTAAATAGATCAAGTTCTCTTTTTTGAATTATGTTCTTTAACGCAAAACCTTAAATTTTAAAATCAAGAGTTTTCTTACGATGACAATTTTTTGTCTAAAATATATTAGAATTTGTCTGAATTTAGAAATATCCAACCATCAGTTCAATATTGGCGGCCTGTTTAAACATCTGGGCTACCTCTTCCTGTCATCTAGATATTTCAACAAGTTATCTAATTTTGTACGTTTCTGAAAAGTGTAAGACCTTTCGCTGTAAAGGTTAAAGAAGGCCTAATCAGAGATATCGTGGTTACTGGCAATATGCAACGAGAAAAATATACATTATCCAGATGTCGATTGACTGGGCTACTAACTTCTAACTGTCGATCACTCAATATTTATCGTCAGGAAGGACGAAGAAGTAAGAAACGGAAACTTGCTGAAGTACTTTGTGCTGAGAATTCTATATTGTACCAAAAATATAATATTAAACAAAGCTAATAATAATAATAATCTGTATTTCACTGCTTACTTCTTGTGTATCTTAAGGGTAACATCAGAAACCACAGTATTTATCAATCTGAAAATAGGTGTAAAAATACTTTGTTGAATCAACATAGATGAACTGTGGCTAACAGTTGAATTCAGGATGTAAGCTTTTCCCTATTTAGGACTAACCAAATAAATGTATTTACATATCTAATCGATTTTTGCATCTCGTGCGAATTGTTTTTATAGAACTCATGAAAACATTCACAGTTGGATACTCGTATATCAAACTGAAAGTCAATTTCTATACTCCCCTGCGAATCATAATCCATCTATTCTAAAACAATTTTGTAAAAAACACAAACCGGCTACATCATGACAAATTTTTCAAGATACATATATAGATCAATTCAAGATTAGATTCACTTGATATTGTTTGTTTGAATCATCCCATTCATGTTTAGGATTGAAACTGGTCAGTCTCTAATTGCCTCCTCTTTTGAAAGATCTGGAGTTGACATCTAGATTTTAATTTTCCCGAATTTATCCTCCCCACGAGATAATGTTGGATCCTCATATATCCAAGTTACCATTAATGTGACATTATCTGAAACATATTTGTCGCATTTAACAGAGAATCAACCAGATTTAATAAGGTAATGAGGATCGACGATATTTGATTTGGGGTCTGTAGTATAACATCAACTGTTCATAAATTCCTGCCTTAATATTTCATACACTATATTATCTATAAATAGATAATTATTCTTTACAAATCTCAAGTTATGTTATTCATTAAAATGAATAACATTTTTGCCTGTACATAATTTGCATTATTTCCAGTTTACGAGAGGAACTAATTGGATAAGATTAATTATCGATTAGGCAATTAGAAGGGGTTTTATGGAGATTTAGTATTTTCATAGTTGAAAGCATGAGTCAATTGAAGCTAGATCACCAAGGAAAACCTTGAAGCACTGGACAGCCGTTTCGTCCTATTGTAGGACTCCTCAACAGTGCGCATCCACAACCTCGCCTCGCGAGATCTGAACCCAGAACCTATTAGTCTCGCGTGCGACCACTTAATCAATAGACCACTGAGCCGGTATCCAATGTTGTTTATGTCTAACCCATGCTTTCAACTATGATTAGGCAATTATTGAAAATAAGAAAGAATTGTGTTTTAAAACTCTTCATTAAAACAAAAATGTATCAACCATTGTAAAATGTGATTAGATTTCAGTTAATGAACTAATTGTTCACTTGTAGATAACTGATCATA